TAGCCATTTGCAGAATCGACCCGTCCCACTGTGGAGTGTGGAATCCCGTCGTCATCGCAGTTACCACGACGTCGGGACGTCACGACGCAGATTGCGTCGACACGTTCGAACGTGTGGGGGAGGGGTGGATCTTCTTCTTCTTCTTGAAATTTTATTGGCGGTTGACAAACAACAAAATGGTGTATTTCCGCCACCAACTGGTATGGAGTGTGGATAAAAAAAGTGACTTACTTCCTTCCCCCTTTTTAACATTTTTTTAATTCTCTCCCACAAAGTTATTTTGTTATTTTTACATCTTAAAAAGAGTTATTTTAAGGAACTGACCGACCTTTTTTCTCCTTATCCCATTGTTTTTGCCACCTTCCCTTCAGTCTTTTCTTAATACTACTCTTGATTTCATTCTTACTTAGATTAACAATTAAGTTAATGTCGTTGTTTTTAACTGCTTCTTTTGCTTCTTTATCTGCAGTTTCATTTCCTTGCATGAGGGGTGGATCTGTAAACATTAACAAGCTTTGAAGTGGATCCCGTAACCCACTGTTGGCGCCAGTGAATGCGTAAGTATATGAATAAATAAATATTTACAGATAGTGGAGATGGGAATTTGACATAAAAACAATGTAAACAATATCAAATTGACTGTAACTGAAAGTGAATTAAAGGAAACAATTTAAAGTTGATTTGAATTTGAAAGGGGAGACGGCTGTCTTCTTTTTTTTTACTCCATGTTCAGGTTTATTTAGTATGGCTTGTTTCCGTCACGGGATTTAAAACAATAATAAAATAAAAAAATATTTTTTTATTTATTTTTTTTTAGATATAAAAACAAGTATATATATATATATATACTTGTTTTTATATCTAAAAAAAAATAAATAAAATCTGTTGTCATCAGAGATTTTTATTACATGAACTGTAACATGGGAGATAAAAAAACAAGTAGTCGTTGTTGTTTCACTTGAATCAGCAGTAATGGTTTCTGACGGCATCAGTCACAAGCGTTCAGATGAGATGCATTCAGCTTTTCTTGAACTTTTGCTTATAGTACATGAGATTCTTACTTCCAATTGATCAGATATACAAATCGCATGATCCATCAGATTTACGCTTCGTCGAGAACACTGAAACAAAAGCAAACGACGGTCAGGAACAGTAAACGCTGACCAGTGGTGTGACCTGACAGGTTTTGTAAAGCTTAGAGAAGCAAGTCTACCCTGAGAGAAGTTTCTAGAACATGGGCAAGCTTGCCAGACCCCCTCTGGCTCTATGTGTTTGGTTAATATAACTGTACACTCTATTAAATATCATCAGCACGCTAGTGTCAAGGACCTAAGATATATCCCTTTCAGTAAATGTGTAATATTTATATATATATATTTACATATGTTTTAAGATCTGATCCTCGTATGTGCAAGTGTTCTTTTCTAACAACCTCAGTGAGACATGAAGGCAAAGACTTGTGGAACACAAATGCAGAAGAATTCACGATTTTCTAAGTGCTGCGTGTATTTTTCTGGTGTGGTACTGAGGAGCTGCAAATATCCAGTATAAAATATGATACAGTAGGAAAGGAACATCAGTGTTTTCAAATAGCATAAATAAAAAAACAGCATTTCAATCGATCAACAGCAGCAAAAACACACCAATGAAGAACATCCGGACTGATCGAACACATCTTTTCAGCAGAGCTTTGACGCATTATGTGATTTCAGATGCTTCGTGAGAGAGTCGTACAAAACAAACAGGCCGTTCTGCTCGGGAAACAGTGTTTGTTTTGCTTTGGTCATTGTGTTCAAATTTCACTTGCGTTTCGTGGACGAGCATCTGCTTCTGATTTAGTATTATTCAGTACTGGACCTGAAACAGACTCTACGCAAGCATGTGAATGCAATGTTTCCATCAACGTAATTTACTGATGCAACAGAAGGGCATAAGCAGCATTTGCGCAAACTATCTGCCAGTTTACTCTTCCATGTCAACCATAATCTGTTGTTTCACCATGACAGAAGAGAATCTTGCTGGTCAAGTTAAATTTAGCTATAGGTTCAAGTTAGTTGTTTACAGCAACCTGAATATCACACTTGATTAAATGGCGCAGGAGGCCGGGAACCACTAGAGGGCCTCAGCAAACTTCCAGGAGGAATGTTATTATTTAAAAAAATTATAGAATATTATTAATACAAAAATGACTATTATTAAAAATTATAAAATGTTACAAATCAGTTTGTTTGCAGTTTCTGTTATGGTTCTGGAGGAAATGTCTTACTTTATATTGCACTGCAAAAGTTATTTTCTTACTCAGCATTTTCGTCTAGTTTTCAAGTAGAAATAGTCTTGTTTGCTAAAACATTAATTAAAAGTAAGTGACTTTGTGCTTAAAACAAGAAAAAAAAAACTGTCAATCGATAATAAAAATGAACCTGTTTTCCCTTTGAGTTTATTTATTCCCTCCATGTTTAGTATTTGATTGTTTTTCTTGTTTTAAGCAGAAACTCATTTAATTTTGATGATTCTTTCTGAAAACAAGACTTAATATCTTGTAATTTTGCATATCAAGTAAATGCATCTTGATTTAAGGATTTTCAGATGCTTGTACTAGAAAACAAGACAAAAATACTGAGTAAGATCATCATTTTTTGCAGTGAAGGAAACTCTATCGCCCCCTTGAGTACTGCAGCTTTAAAGGTGGGGTAAGTGATTTCTGATAGCCAATGTTGACATTTGAAATCACCAAAACAACCACGCCCCTACCCCCAAAAAGGTCTCGCCCCTATTTTGATAGCTCCGCCCCACACATACGTACAAAACCCAGGCAACGATTAGTTCTGTGAAACAAAGGCAACGATTAGTTCTGTGAAACAAAGGCAACGATTAGTTCTGTGAAACAAAGCAA